CCCCAAAACCCCAAAACCCCAAAACCCCAAGATAAGATAATCTTAATTGAAACACTGTATTAGAAAATTTAAAATACAAACCAAAATTTAAGTTTTTATCATATCGTACACAATTTCACTCCAATCCTTCATTTTCATTAGCAACATCATCCAATCCTACTTCAATATAATCTTTTTCGAGAGCAGCAAGATCTTCTCTTGCCTCAGCGAATTCTCCTTCCTCCATTCCTTCACCTACAAACCAATGGACAAAGGCTCTTTTTTTAAACATTAAGTCAAATTTATGACTCATTCTAGAGATAATTCCTCCGACTGCTGTGGAATTGGTCATCATGCAAAGTGATCTTAGGGTTTTAGCTGCATCTCCACCAGGAACAGCTGTAGCTGGGGAATGATTGATACCAACCTTAAAACCTGTTGGACACCACTTAACGAAGTTGATAGTTTGCTTAGATTTGATAGTTGCAACTGCTGCATTAACATCCTTTGGAACAACATCACCTCTGTATAAGAGGCAACATGCCATATATTTGCCTGAAGTTGGAGAAGCAGCTACCATCATATTTCCTGGCTCAAAGACTGCAGATGTCAACTCATAGGTGGTGAAAGTCTCGTGATAAGCTTTCTCACTAGACATGAAAGGTGCATATGAGCAGATGGGAAAGTGAATTCTTGGATATGGCACCAAGTTAGTCTGAAATTCAGTCAAGTCACAATTAAGACTTCCTTCAAATCTTAAACTTGCTGTAACACTTGATATAGCTTGGGCAATCATTCTATTTAGATTTGTGAACTTTGGCTTCTCAATGTCCATATTTCGAAGACAAATATCATACATTGCTTGATTATCAACCATAAATGCTACTTCTGAGTTTTCAAGCATAGTATGAGTACAAAATACAGAGTTATAGGGTTCAACTACAACTGATGACAATTATGTTGAGGGATAAACTGCAAATTCAATTTTTGTCTTTTTTGGATAATCCACAGTCAGTCTTTCTAGCATAGCTGCAGCTAGTCCTGATCCAGTTCCACCACTGAATGAATGAAATACAAGAAATCCTTGCATTCCATTACATTAATCTGCAGCTTTTCTTATTCTATCTAGAAGCAAATCTAGAACTTCCTTTCCAATAGTGTATTTTCCTCTTGCAAAATTATTTGCAGCATCTTCTTTGCCGCTTATTAAATTTTCTGGATGAAATAGCTCTTTATATGTTCCAGTTCTGATTTCATCAATGCATGTTGGTTCTAAATCAATCTAAATGGCTCTAGGAACATATTTGCCAGCCTAAATAAATAAATTGAGAATATTTGAATTAGACATACTCCAGTCTCTTGGAAAAATGTTTAAAATGAATCATCGCTGTTCAAATGTGTATTTTCATCTGGCAGTAATCCACTTGGATTGATACCTAAATTTAACTTGAATCAATGATAAAGATAACTTACCATGTTCAAGACAGAATAGCTCCCAGCAAGCTGCTCCTACTTAAACTCCAGCCTATCCAACATGAATACATATAACTTCTCTCATTTTTATAATTTGATTTCTTAATTTAAATTAAATAAATATAACCACTCTCATTAAAATACATTCACTCAATGACTAATAGGTATACTATCATTTATGATACAATCATGATGTCTATTTATATCTCATTAATTTTCTCTTTCAGTTTTGCTGTAGTAGCCTTCTCAATTAGTTGCAATGTGATAATCCAAATATGCCAATGACTTATTTATCTTTATTTTTTTCGCTGTCCATTATTTCTAATATTTTCTATGCAAAGTGTTTTTCTCTCTCATCTCTTAGTAATCTTTTGTAAGTGAAAATAGTTGGATCAACCGATATGCTCCATTTATTAAGGATTTAAGTCATTGAATCCTCCAGAAGGTAAAACAAATTAGCCACTTTTAAATTCTATTTCCATCTAATCATCTCTGCATACCTTTCAATCAATTAATAATTGCTCATGTCAATGAGATAAAGTTATCCTGCTGATATAAGCTATTTCTAAGTCAGTGGATAATAATACTCAGATTATTCCCATCTTTTCCTTTTTATGAAATCTGCATCTATTGGATTTAGCTCTAGCAAAACTAAGGCATTTTTATCTCTTTGCAATGCTTGATCTATTTTTTGAATGACTTTATATTTTGACTCACGAGTATTGTGCTTGACACCAATCAATATCAACTTTTACAAATTTACCATGAATTAAATTATTTTAAGTTTGAAACTAATTTTATAATGATGGGGTTTTGGGGTTTTGGGGTTTTGGGG